ACCACTTGCGCCCGATCCCGCCTCCGGTCTCTTTGACTCTGTCTTGATAACATACAGGTGGGTAAGGAGTGTGGAAGATGCTGCGCAGGCCTACTATCATTTATAACTAATTCACGCGAAACTCACCATCCCCGCACCAACCTGTTTGAAACATACGGTTGACATAATCTAAATCGATGCTCGAACTGCCGACTATATACGAATGTGATCACGCCTGATCTAGTGGTTGTTTATAATTATGATCAACAGACTCATCATAAATGGGAGGGTCCAATGGATTTCTTCCACCACAATCAAAAGGTTCGATTGATGCGCGAAAGCACTTAGTTTTACCAGGGTCCGCAAAACGCAATTTCGCATTAAATCTTTACGATTTTGTACTGCTTCCATCGTACAAGCTGTTTTTGACAAATACTATGGAGTAGTTGTCACCCAAGAATACCATTCATCTGACACTGTATTATACCTACAGCTAAAACCAGTTATCCTTCTGTGCTCGTGTTAAACTCCACGTCCCGGTTTCTAAGCGCATAATTTCTGACATTTTTCATATTTGCATGCCCATTCGCTCGGAAGTTATGATATCCAACAGCGAAAACCATTAAAAATTCCGTGTTCATGTGTTTTCCAGTGCTTGCACGTGCAATGGAACCCTGTTTTAAATCTGTTTAACCCTTCTTATGTAATTATGTATTGCCATCTTTTAGAGGAAAGCCGCCAATCCTTTGTTCTCCTTCGGTAAGAAGAGCCAAACATCAAAGAAAGCCAAATAGCGCTGCATTCAAACTCCCCCAACGCCACTGTACAATTCAGTAAATAAAATTCTTTGATGCTTACGCTTTATTGCCTTGAGAGGGGTTTTGACAGTCAGATATTATAAATCAATACACAAGGAAGACAGCAATATGACCGTCTTACACGAGTAGCGTACGCAACAAACGAACAACGAGAAAACCAAAATGGGTTTACATGCAGGTAGGACGGGGTACGAAATGAATGCAAAAAAGAGACTAGACAGGAGTAGAAAAAAAATTTGCCCACGCGCGGACTACAACTCCTCCACACCGAGACACCGAACACGAATATTGAGCGAGTCCTTGAGTAGGTTGTCTCGCAGGCTCCACAGTGCCTCGACAATACTGCCCTGGTGAGCGTGTATATGCGGTGTGTCGAGGAAGTTGGTAGCCATCTGTTGCTGCTGTTGTGGCGTTAAGGGGGGCACCGAGTCTACTGTAGCCGCCAGCTGCTTTCTCCAGTCACTCAATCCCGGTGCGTTTCGACGCAGGCGGTCGATGTAGCTGTAAGCGATAAAAGAAATGGATAGTTGTGAAGGCGTAACAACCGCCACCGACCAGCTAGCAGAATAGATGTACAGGTTAAGAAAATGAACAGTAGTCTTCAAAAACGTGAAGTGCAAGCCCAGGACAGGTTAACAAACTGCTAGACCAACTACAAGTTTCGTGTTTTCACTGTCTAAGTATATGCAGAGGATAAAACCCTAGGAGGTTGGGCCTTCATGAGACTATGGGCTAAAATTAGAATAAGTGAACTGAGAGCAGCGCGTCCGAGTCCTCGGGTGTCCGAACTTTAATAGTATAAGCAGAAAACTCAGCCAGTGACTGCTGGGAGCATTAGGTGACATCAGTGACACAGCAATTATAAATGCGCCCTTGAAGCTGAAACACAATTCGGCAGTTAGCAAAGCGATGCCAAAGTGAACTATCTTAATAGGCTCGAGGGCATCAGAGTTGTTTAACCAGCTATCGCTTGCTGTGTCTGTTGCCCTGGCGATAGTTCTCGATAAGCTGAATCAAAATCCGCCGTCTTGGTTCGAGTGCAGATCCAATAAGTTATGAAAGTTGTTGGAGATTGGGAGAGGGAAATCGGAAGCACTAAATATAGGCGTGATAAAAACATCACAAAGAGAGCCCTAGAGGGTTTAAGGCTTCGTTTAAAGGAACGGCAGGTCATCGAGTCGGATCAGCGGCCGCCTAGTTAAGCGAACGTGACTTCCAGTCACGACGTATGAACAGCGGTGACTACCGGCAGTGGGGAGGCGGACAAATGAAGCCGAGTTACGACTCAGACGAATGTCGTCGATTGTCACTTTGGAGAGGGCAGCAGGTAGTTGTTTCTGAGTGTAATATTTTAGTTGGAAATGTCAACGAAGTTCTTAGTGGCAAACCTACTGAATGTATGTCAACTGGAAATCTCAGCCTGGACAAACCAAATTCACTGACACAACGTTCAGTCTTGTTGTTAGAGACCCATCTCATTGCAGTTACTCAGCTAGCCAAAAGCAGAAACGTCTTGTGGATTATTTGCGCACGAGAGTGAATTATGTCACGCCGACGGACCGTAGTCACTGCGGAACAGTCATTTCTGTTTGCTTTTTTGTGTCTGCTCCATCCTCGTCTGCAAATAGTAGTTACTTCAGGAATCTGAACTTAAGCAGACAGGTGCTGAGCGCACGTTAACAAATAGTAATGCAAAACGGGAAGCATAAAGACCCCAGGTATTAATAAATTCTAAAAATAACAAGAAACTTCAGAATTCATAAGCCAAAACCTAACTAGCACAGACTTAGGTCATATTTTACAATTCCTGTCCAATGCCTTTGACTGCTGAGAAAAAGAACTCTAACAGCAGCTGTTATATGAGAGGTATACATAATAGACACGGGGAAGGGGGGGGGGCAAACACACCGTTGGTAAATTTCGGAGTGCAGCACTCTTGAGGTCCGAGGTGGGAGGGAGACGAAGAGGGGTGATGGTGGTCGTGGAGGTGCCTGTGGCTGATTTACGAAGGTCGACGCCCCGGTCGCTGTGGTTGCCGTTGTGCCAGGAGCTAAAGTTCCTTGCTGTAGACCCATGGTAGAGGGCAGGCTCGTCATGGCAGGACTACCAGAAGTGGTCTGAGCCACAGACATGACATGATTGTCAGGGCCAGGGTTGACTATGAAGTAGGAGAAAAAGTGGATACAACAATATCAAATATTGGCTAAACGCACGTATTTAATTTCACTCCTTAGAAAACAGACCTTAAGAGGGCTACGTCGGCCGTTTGTAGTGAAAACTTCCTACATCGACGGCTGTGCGGATGGAACACTTGAGCTGCTTTTCGCTTACCACCTGCGACTGCATCAAATCTTGAGTGGTGTGTATTTAAGACCACATGAATAGTCACTGAGTCAAGATAAAACCAGATTCGAAAGAATCAGACCAAACAGGGATGTCTTCTCCTTCAGAAGCCGCTGAGGTTACCGGCGACAATGGAAGATAAATGGAGCCGGTAGTACAGTCCTCTAATGTAACGAAACTACTTAGATAATTGAGCTTAATTTGCGCTATGTAGAGGTACGACGACATGCTTCGAGGTTATACGAAATCGGACATCTTAGGGTAATGAGAATAAGCAGGTTGCGGTGGGGCGACGGTTAAAATGCAGCCTGCAACGGCATAGATCGTTTACATTTGTACTTTGCTACTTGCTGTGTTTGAGTAGTTGGTATTTTTCAAAATATTAGGAGTTCAGCGGACGCAGAGTTAACTCACTTTGTTGAAGAACCTGGACACATTGCTGTTGAGAATTCGTTTGGTGGTGCGGAAGGGGCATGGGCACGGCTTGCCTGGCGCCGTGCATCAAGTGGCCAGGTGCGGTCGCAAACGATTGGGGTTGAGTTGCCAATACATTGGCACCCATCGGTGGTCCCTGTTGACCCATTGGGTGTGTTAGAATAACCTGATGACCGCTGACGGGTCCTCCAATGTTCACATTAGGTGGAGGCAGACCGGAGCCACAGGGCGTAGCCTGTTGTCCAGCGAACTGGTATACAACCTGAAGTGAGGTAGTGTAGTAGGTAAAGGACTTTTGTGGATCCAAAAGTGCATAAACATAAACGCGTGCGTAACGTGGATGAAGAAGAAAACACCAAGACTGCACGACGCCATTTGCTACTGTTGGGCGGGAAATGGCTGTTGTCGCTTTCACTGGCTGCAAACACGTCCCTACCAGAGGGTATCTGATCACGGCCGCCCAGTCATCGAGAACCCGATGTAGTCGGGACTTGACAGACGGCGGCGGACAGCTAACAGTCGACGCGTCACGGTGTGTCAGCGCCCTGGCTGCCTTTCCTCAGGACTTCAACGAACTAAACAAATCTTACCACATCAACCAGGAAAATGTGCCTTGTGAGTACGCTATAAAAGCAGTGTTCCAATTCCGATATTGGTCGCCAAGATTCATACTTTAAACAGTTCTTGATCTCAACAAAATTCTTTTGAATTGTTAAAAGAATTTAGCGATGGGGGGCCGAAAAAGCCATAAACATATAATGACCAAAGGGGTGTTTCCCTGAGGGGTTTTAGGAGACTTAATATCCTATCTCATAAAAGTTAAACAAGTTACGGCTGTGTGGAACTTTCAAAGGATCGGCTCTGGGCTGAAGAGAAGACACGCGTAGTGTCATACGTCAAATAATAATCTGGGTAGATATGACAAATTCATAATCATTATATTCGGACAGCAGGGGGGCTGAATAAGACGAGTGATAGTTCGTTCAGCAGAACCTAGGCCCGCGGTCGGCAACCCATGGCTCGCGAGCCAAATATGGCTCTTTTGATGATCGCGTATGGCTCTTTCAGAAACTTTAGATTTTA